GAGATTAAAAAAAATGGATAACGATAACCACTTATGTGGTTATGACTTAATAATGAGTGTTTTTCTTAGTGAGAGAGACTCATTCAAAAAGTTAAAGTACGAGTATTCTCACAACTACTAGCTTGCACGTCATTCTACCCTATTCCTTCAAGGAACTAGAGTTGCCTTTCTATATTTAGTGGTGCATACAATATAGCTAAGAGTTGTATTTCTTATTAAAAAAATGGAAGAGTGTGAAGATATTGTTGTTTAGCTAAAACAACATCATTGCGCACCTTTATTTTATGGGAGAGTTTATGGAGATCTAGAAGAGCTAAAGTATATATGGTGGGGAGGTTAGTTACTCTCCCATATCTTGAAATTTCTAAGTTGTTAGCCTTGTAAAGAAACTATTGGGTGATAAAGTGTGAAACAAGGATGAACTAGCCTTTATTCAGTTTTTCATTAATAACACTCCTACTAAAATCATGAAAATGATTAATTGAATTAGGATTTTTATAGCTATTTCTTAGGTCGATGGTGTGACTTAGCTTGACAATTGTTTGGTAGATTGACAAGATGACTTTTATACTTACTTATAAAAACAAGTCTCCTATTAAAATAGTTGACCCTTTGATATTTAAGTCAAAAAATATGGAAGGGGTAATAATTTATAGAAGGGGAGAGAACATAGGAGAATGGTGTGTAGAGCAATAAAGAAACAAAAGAAACAAAATAAGTTGAAAAGGGAGTAAAAATCAAAGAAATATAATATGGCTTTGTGTGGTTTGCCTTTTCTATTCTTAATGGAGTTCTGTATTAATAAAATGAACTTATATGAGGTTTTTAATTGCTTTAGTCTGTTTTAACCTAGTGACCTGAGGTATTTATAGATCTCAGGTCATGTTATTAACTTTCATTGTAAAGAGTGAAAAATGACAAAGAATAATTGCTTTCTTTAATAGATAACTTGAAAAGTTGAGTAATTGGTTATTATATCTTATTTTTTTAGTGGTGAAAAGGATAGTGCTTACCACTGGTTATTGTGCCTTGTTGAGCCATTGGTGAAGAGATTGGTGCTTGGTATATGTTATTTGAGCTGACATGTTGCAGGAAATATCCATTAGCTAGAAAAAGTGGCATTGTTTTGGCAACTTATATGTAAATTGATTAGTACTTAAAAGTGTATTTTTATCAAGGTTTTATATCATCATTTTGCACTTGAAGTATCAATAACTCCTTAACTAAAGAATGTTTTATAATAATATATCTAATAATATAAGATACCTTTAATTTGTGGTAAATGTTCATTTTAAATGTAGGCCTATCACATAAATGAAAGGATTGATTGATGAATTTAAGAACTAAAATTGAAAGGATAAAGAGATGGCCAAACTTAGAAAAGAGATGTCGGTGCAATCCAAACCGGAACACTATTCGGTAATTGGGTCATATCTGGAGCTACAGATCTCAGATTTAGGTCCAATTTATATGGATGGAAAGGTAAGACATAGGCCTACAACTTTCATATGGAGCCCAAGATCTAAAAAGGCCATTATCAAGTCCAAATTGTAGCAACAACAAAGAAGCCCGAATCTGTCTTACAACTTTCATATGAAGCCCAAGATCTAAAAAGGCCATTTTCAAGTCCAAATTGTTGCAACAACAAAGAAGCCCGAATCTGTCCTCCAGCTCGAGCACTATTCAGTATTTTGGCCATATCTGGAGTTCTAGAAGTCGAAATGAGCTGAAGTTTTTACACAAGAAAACTGAGACAATTGTCTACAACTTTCATGTTTCGAGTGGCTCCAATTTTGACATTATCAATGACGTTTTGGGCAGACAAGAGAAGATAAGGATTGTCACCAAGTCAAGAGTTGGGCACCCACTCATCAATTAGTCATCAAATCAATAGTTCCCAATTTTGGCCTATAAAAGGAGGCATTTGCCATGCATTTAGGCATCTTGGTGTCCAGATCAAGATCATGCTCTTGCTTTCTCTCTTTGTATTTTTTGTAATGTTTATACTTTGCTTTCATTAATATCAAGTTTATGCCTTTCATTTCCTTTCATTTACTTAGCTAACTTTTATCTTATTTATATTCTTATTTTGTTTATTTATTTTTCTTTCTTTCATTATGTCTAGCTAAGTTTATTATGTGAAGGTGAAAAGGTTACACTAATGGTGTAAGAATAAGTATAGTGTAAACTGAATATGGACTTTAATGTTTGATACTAACATATTTTGTATTTGTTATCTTCACTCTTTAATCCTTTGCTTGTTAAATGACTAATCTTGATTTATGTTGTATAACACTTGGTACAACAAATGCTTGGCACTTTTATAGCCCATACTGAATGGTATAACCGACACCTGAGCTATGAAAGGAACTTGATTTGTTGTTAACATAAGTTATAATCATGAATGCTTGACGAAATTTACAAGTATTAACATTAATTGAATAAGATGACTAATGTAATCATATTAACAATCTATAATCTAATTGGAACCTCCTTTGTGTGTGGATTCCAATTGACTAATAAGAGTTTATATTATACTTGTTTGACATACCATTAGTGGATCCTCTAACCTTGACATTTATTGTTATCGTTGTTAAATCTTTACGTTAATATTTCATCTCAAAGTTCTCATCATCTTCTTCTTCTTCTTCTTCTTTTTCTTTATTATTATTATTATTATTATTATTATTATTATTATTATTATTGCTGTTATTACTACTACTACTATTATTAGTACTATTATTATTATTGTTGTTGTTGTTGTTGTTGTTGTTGTTGTTATATTATTATTTATAATTTGTACAATTAACCTCCCTGTGGTTTGACCCTGGTCTTGCCGGGTTATTTATTCTTTCGACACTCCTGCACTTGGGAGAAGACATCAATCTTTTAGTCGTGTCAAGTTTTTGGTGCAATTGTCGGGGAGGTAAGTTCTTGTATAAATTATAAAAGTGAACTTGGGAGAAGACATCAATCTTTTAGTCGTGTCAAGTTTTTGGCGCCGTTGCCGGGGAGGTAAGTTCTTGTATAAATTATAATATTTATTTTATTTTCTCTTTTCACTTTTCTTGTATATAATAACTTTGTTTCTTTTCTCTTGTTTCTTCTTTTTTTGTTTTCCTTTTCCTTTTATTCTATTCCTACACGTGCATGAGAGTGTGGTCACGTACATCAAGTGGTAGACTTTGTAGGGTATCCTCATCATTTTCAGAAAATATAGCCGAAGAAGATAATCAATCACTTCATGATGAGAATAATGAGAATAACCGTGTTAGAACACTTAGAGACCACATGAATCCCACAAGAACAAGTGCACCATCATGCATAGTTTTTCCTCCCTATACATCTCATTTTAATTTTAAACCAGGTATTATTCAACTTTTACCTTCTTTTCATGGCTTAGAATTGGAAAATCCATACTTGCATTTAAGGGAATTTAAGGAGGTCTGCAACACATATAATAATTTAAATTATAGCATGAACACCATCAGATTAAATCTTTTTCCTTTTTCATTAAAAGATAAAGCTAAAACATGGCTACAAAATTTAAGACGAGGATCCATTCGTGCTTGGGTTGAAATGCAACAATAATTTTTAAAGGTTGATTATTTTGTTTTTCTCACATTGTTTTTGTGTTTCTTTTTGAGTGATTTTTGATAGTTTCTCTCACCCCGGTCAAATGGCGGACAACGGTACTCCATGACTTAAGTCGGTTCTTTTAGTTTCCTATAATAACTGATATCTATGTATATATTTATGCAATTATTTGAATCTCTCTTCCAATTCTCATTTGATAATGGACACTAATCTTGAAAAATTGAAAAAGTATTTTCCCGCTCTGCCTCAGAATGCGATTACAAAAATTTACTGTGCTAGATGTGCAAGATTGAGGTTGTTAATGAATCATGAAATTCCTGAAGATATTCGCTAGTTGATTGAAGCAAAGGTCCGATTATCAGGTGAGTCCTCTAACTCCTTCATTTCACACATGCCTAGAACACGTAAAAGCACTTTTGCAAAGAAATGTCATGCAAAACGACTGAAGTCTGTCATCGATGTGTTAGATGGACTTGTAATACACAATGTCATTCTTTAGGAATGGTATCTATAAACCGTGAAGATAAAAGACAGTTCATTAAGGATGGCCTGAGTAAGGAGTCTTTAGATAATCTTCTATTGACTCCTGAGACGCATCCTAGTGGAGATGTGCATTGTGCAATTCATGATTTATGGCCACTATTTCATAAAGAACATGATCGACTTAGTCTTGGGAATCTGACTAAAAAAGACCCTATTTGCTAGTTTTTAAGAAAACTGGATAGGAAACCTATCCCCGACCCATAGAGGACGTTTAAGTCGTTCTTGGACTTAAAACCAAGGAAAGATGTGAGCCACAATCACAACTACCTGTACATACACATGCTTTTTCAAAAGTAAATAAATAAATAAATAAAGAGAGAGAAAGAGAGAGTGTGTGAGACTCTAGCTGGCCTACATATAGGTGGTATGATTGCCTTTCTAATTTCTCATCTATAAAATCCTCTCTTCCTTCCTTTCATTTCTACTCAACCCATACATTCAACAAATACAAAAGTGTATAGAAATGACAAGTTCCTCAGGTTATCATATAAGAAATATTTGTGTTTTTGGTGGATCTAGTCGTGGGAAAGAAAAGGAGTTTTTAGAATCAGCAAATCATCTTGGTCAGGTGCTAGCTGAGAGAAAGATTCATTTAGTGTATGGGGAGGCAGTCTTGGGTTAATGGGAGGTATGTCAATAGCTGCATTTTTAGGAGGTAGTCAAGTTTTGGGGGTCGTCTCCGAAGCTATAGCACAAGGGGACATCATTGGAAAAACAATTGGAGAGGAACTTCAAGTCTCCATAATGTCTGCTCGAATGAATGCAATGTTTAACCATGTTGATGCCTTCATTGCTTTACCAGGTGGTCTAGGCACATTGGAAGAGATCTTTCATATTTCCTCTTGGGCCCAACTGCACATTCACCCCACTGGCATCTCCCAAAATCGAGATGGTGGAGGTGGAGGTGGAGGCGGCGGCAGTTTTAGTGGAACAAATTGTTTACCAACACTCTCTGGAACCTGCTCATTCTGTCCTGGAAAACCCGAATTTCGATCCTGAGAATTCGGCGTCTCCCCTGAATTTCTCCCAGATGATGATGGAGAAATGGACGGCGATGATTGCTTAATGTACTGAACTGGAGCAAGAAAATTAATAATCGTATCAGGAGACTGGGATTTTCCACTTCTATGGCTAGAATTAGACACTGGAGACACACTGCTGGAAACAGATTTTGATGGAGAAAAAGAATTTGATAATGGATACGAAGCAGTCCTTGAATTAAAACTTCTAGACCCAAAAATCTCTCCTTGAATACCTTGAATCACTCTTCTAGAACTTGAATCAACACGAACCGGTATCTCATGATTAGCCTCTTTCCGCCCAGAAGACCCTCTAGGTGAAAAGAACTCTTCCTCCTCGATATCACTATCAACTTCATCTTCTTTACTTGAACTAACAAGAACTTCACCACTTCTATAAGTTGGTGTGTAATTATGTCTAGGCAATGGTGGCAATGGCCTCAGCTCAGGTGACCCAAGTTTTTGATAATGTGAAGAGGATGATGATGAAACACCAGTTTTAAGAACAGCATTGCTGGTTGAAGTTGGCTTGTCTTGATCATCGATGCCAGCTCGAGAGTTCACTAATGTGCCCAGGTAAAGAAACTCTGAGCTTGTGCTTACGACACCAGGACGGTGTGGGAGCTTTGGAATCTTTGGAGAACCATCTGATGGGATAGTGTTTTGGGGGTAAAGGCGGAGACTTTCTGATCTTGAACCCTTTTGAGGACTAAAAGGCTGGGTTCTCCTGCGAGAATAGATGAAAAAGGCTGAAAGTAAAGCTAAAAGAGCAGCGAAAAGGAGGGAAAGGGAGATGGAGATGGAGATAATGAGGTTGTGGTGAGGAGAGGAGGAGCGGTGAGGGAGGAGGAGGGAGGAGATGTTGGCAGGGAAAGTAGCAAGTGTGGAAGTGGGAGGAGGTGGTGGAGGTGAAGGGAGGGTAGGGAAAAAGGGCTTTTGTAGATTATTGTTTTTGCTTGGGGTGGAAGTGAAAGGGTATTTGGGTTGGGTTTGAGGAGACAAAGAGGGAGGTTGTGTCGGTGGAATGGCGGTGGTTAGTGGGAAAAAGGGTTGGTGGAGGAGGTGACGTTGGTGAGTGGTGGAGGTCGTGGTGGTGAACAGAAGGAAGAGAAGGAAAAAGAGAGTATTTACTGTAAGACTAGAACTAGTACTGGCCATTAATGTATGTTTTAGAAAGTAATTAGATAGAAAGTAAAGACATACACTTCAGACACCCACAAAGTTGTCTCTCTCTAAACTTAATGTCTTTGCCTCTCTAAAACCAGAAATACAGTAAGTTGAAGAAGGAAATGAAGTGCTACAAGGGGCCAACGAAAAAGAAAGAAGGGACTTGAAAACGTTCACCTTGACGGCATTGCTGAGAGATACGGTGATGAAAGTTCAGTTCTTGGATTGGAATTATCCACAAAGAAGAGCAGGCAGGCAGGAAGAGTGAAGAAATTGCAAGACAAACTCTGTTCTCCCAAGTAAAAGTACTTCTTTCTTTGGTGGACACAGAAAAGAATTGTGGTTCCAGTAGGTAGAGAGCCAGGTTCTTGAACTTGAGATTGCAGAAACAAGACAGTCACTAAGTTCATGAAATGTGAGGTCCAGGAAGAGAATGTCTTACTCTTAACTCAAAGAGCGATAGATAGAGAGAGAGAGAGAGACATGCTACATGGTGGATGGAGAAGTGAACAGTAGGAGAGAATTGGACTGGTAGTTCAGATTTTCAAGGCAAAACAGCAAAAAGAAAAACCCCACTGGACCATATTACAATACCCTTTTCATTTTCACCATGTTCACGGCTCTAGAATGAGAAGTTCATGAGGTTGGAGAGTGCTGGTAGGGTAGAAATCCAAGTAAAGCTGATGAAGAAGAAATACCACAAGAGGTTACTGACACATTGAAATTTTGGGTCATTATTGTTGGGATTTGGTTTGCTTTACGTTTTCCTTGTTTGGATGTAAGATTTCTGACAAAATTATCATTTCATCAGCTAAACAGTAAAAAAGATGAGCTGTTTTACAGTGCTGTGGAAGTGAAAGGAGCCATGGAATAATGAGAAAGCAAGGCTCTTTTTCACACTTGTTGGGGAAAAGTGTTGTGATTTTGGCTTTTGACTGTTTTAACTGTGGGTGCTAGAGGGGATACTGGTGTCCAGCTGGAGAAATTTTGGGTTTTCAAGGGTGTGTTTCTTTTTAAAAGTATTTTTAAAAAATTTAAATTTTTTTTAGTTTTTTATTAATTTTAAATTAATATATTTTTAGTGTTTTTAAATTATTTTAATGTGCTGATATTAAAAATAATTTTTAAAAAATAAAAAAATATTATTAACATGTATTTTGAGACAAAAAACTATTTAAAAAACAATAACAACTACACTTCCAAACATACTTTAATTATTTTTGGTTTACTGTGCATGGTTCAAGTTGATTGTTCTCCCACATGAAAAGACCAGTAGTGAGTTTATTTTTGTTTTAAAGTTTTTTATTTTAAATTAATTTTTTTATAATTTTAATTATTTAAATATAATATGATATTAAAAATAAATTTTAAAAAATAATCATTATTATAATTATAAACATTACTTAAATATAATTTGTTTAATATTGTACATAGCTAAGCTTTTTTTAGCCTAGATTTCCATACAATAGCATTTTTTTTAGAGAATGACGAATTAAAATATAGAAAATTCAAATAAAAATAATTGGTAAAATAATGGCACCTTTAAAATTTGTTTGAAAAATCCTTTATAAGTCTTTTTTTTATTTTTAGATACTAGGTAATTGATTCCTCTAATGTTTAAAATTTTAATTTCAGTACTAAATTTTTTTGTTTTTGAGAAGAGAAAGGGAGTCATTGACTTCTAGCATGGAAAAAAAAAGTTCTTGTTATAGATGTTTTTAATGATTAAAATAATTAATTTTTATGTTAAATAATTTTACATGTCAATGAAAATTAAAATTACATGTTTTTTATATTAAAAATACCTAAAAAACTAAATCCAAGCTCAAAAAAAATTATTCTAAGTTGATTGTGATTTTTTGAGTGATTTGTGAG